GGAGTGCTTGGCAAGTGGATGCGCGCGGAAAAAATGCGCAAGGGGCGAGAAGTAAGCCCGAATCCTGGTAATAAGTATTACACGACGGGCTCTGAGCGTCATGGGGGATAGGAGTTGCTGCTGCTATTGCTGCTGTTGAAGCATGGCAGCCAAAACCATGGGATCAATACCTGCCGCTAATGCTCGTGTACGGTGGCCAAGCACGGAGCAGAGCAGCCCTTCCTCTCTTTCTCTCTGTTCTCCCGCACGCGCTTACGCGTTGCCTGTCCCTTTTTGCCGACTTCCTCGACACTTCAAAGTGCTCATCTTTGTGTACTCGTGGCTCTCTGTCCTTCGGTGTGCACTTTATTCGCATTGCTTCTTTTTCCAGCGATTCTTTAAACCGACATATTTATTGTATTTTGAAAAAAAATTTTTTATCTTCTTTTAACAAATTAACGCTTGTTACTTTGTCTAACGTTGCATTGCATTGAATTTGGTTATAAACGCGTATACGAGATTTATTTACAAGGATATCAAGACATGGAAAAGAGGGATTGACTTAGGAGCCATCGACTTTTACGAGAATTTTGAATTGTAATTTTATTGTTGGGTTTTTATCTGGATTTGTTATATTAACGATTAAACTTGATGCGAAATCATTAATTTTCTCACACGTAAAAGATAATTTAATTATATTACCGAAAAGAAATATTATAAAGATATTATTATTTTTCTTTTATTGATTTGTTCTTATATATATATATATATATATATATATATATATATATATATATATATTGGGAAAATTAAATCTCAAATATAGCAAAGACCGAAATTGTTATTAATATTGTAATTTGAATATTTTACTCTTTAAATGAGATATTTGATTATTAATTAACATTTTCCTAATATAATTACATTCATAATAATCATTGATAATTATTTTTATGAGTTTGAACATTGAGTTTCCGAATAATTCAATAATACATAAATAACACAATTGTTATTATTTAAAGTAAAAAAAGTAAATATAAAATAAAATATAAAGTAAAAAGTTTAAATTATTTAAAGTAAGAACTAAGAAATTCTTAATAAATATTAAGAAATAATATTTAAAAAAAAACTAAAATTAGAATGTAACTAAATTGTAGTTTGTTAAACTATTGTGTTAAATGAATTTTGACAACTTAATCAATAATTTCAAATTTTCAATGGTAATATTGTGAGTATAATAATATTATGGCTAGTGGTTATTAATAGTTATCTTGGCTTGATCGAGGCAACTTATTGCTTCATTTTAATACAAAGATCATTAGAGAAACATCCTACATTTATTATTGCTGGAAAAGTAGTCCAATTTAAATTAAATTTTGTCGTGTGAAATTCTCTTAATATTTCGCCTAAATATGAATGTTGTTTTAAATGTTGGAGATTAATTCTGTGTGCGTTTGTCGTATTTACTATCTCATAGATCCATTATTGAAAATAATTAATTTAAATATTAGTAAACTGGAATATTATTGCGGAAACTCTCATTGCGGGTGCATCAACTTTAAAATCGAATGACAATCTGAGTGCTTATTAAGACGGCCTGCCATTGTTCTACATAGTCTGGTTGTAACGTATTTTTTGCAAAGGGTCAAAAAAACTATAGGAATAACAGCAGCCAGCGTATGACAATTATGTACGAATATATTGAAAGAAGTGGAAGGGCAGAAGTGAGAAGCACGGTGAAAACGTTTTTGCTATCGGTGGCTCGGGAGGTTGGAACTTGATATTTAGCTAACCTATAAAGTAATGTTTTTAAGTAACATAGAACATTTTCGAAAGAATTTATTTGACCATTGACGAAATATATGACGAAAGCTACTCGACGACTCTCATTAATCTTGTTTCTCTTCATTCTATTACATTAGCGGTTCTGTCGAGCCGATTGAGAATGGTTTCCAAACCCAACTTAATTACCGATTTATTTAAATTTCTTAGAGAAATATTGGCATTTGTTTATTTTGGAGTATTTATGAATTAATTATCACACAATTTTTAAATATTAACTTTTAAATTTCGTAATAAACGTTAGTAGTGAACGAATGACACCTACTTTTCCGTGGTCGAATGAAGTTAAAAAAAATCAAGATCGTTATTATCAAGACGAGTTATATCAATAATACTAATTTCATTTTCAAGCAATTGATTTTATTATCTCATAACGAATTTGGTATCACAAACAATAAAAATTTTTTGATCATAATATTTAGAGTCTGAAAAACATCTAACCTGGATTCAAAAATATAACAAGTCACGCATTATATATATGTGGCTATTTACACACACACACACACACACACACACACACACACACATATATGGCCGTGGTGTTGTGCTTACTTATTTGTAAAATATCACATATATGCTTGAGATATGTAGGAAAAAATTTATCGCTAACGGTTTGAAAAGTATTATGCATGTCCTCAACAGATGCGCGTTTATTTCGTTTGCCCAGTCTTACACCTTCTTTCTTTTCCTTGCTCTCTCTCTCTCTCTCTCTCTCTCTCTCTCTCCCTTTCGTTCTTTTCTCTCTCATGCTGTTTCTTTCTTTTTATACTCTGACGACTTATTGCGATTTTTACTCTTCTTTTATCTATGTATTTGCTTATCTATCTGTCTATCTATCTATTTATCTATATATATATATTATTTATCTGTATTTTTGTCTATCAATCCATAGTATCTATATTTCTATCTCTGTCTCTATCAACGCGCCTATGTAAGCGTATATAGTATATGTACGCCACAGTGTGTCTTCCTTAATGGCGTTGGCTTCAGAACTTAATTCCACGCTGCGTCGACCCACTAACGCGGTCTCAAGCAAGTAAGAGAGGCAAAGGTCCAGATCTCGTCTGCTTTACGTGGCTTATGATACTTTTTTTATTGTGTGGATGAGGAACGTAGCGAGGTACCGTGTTTCCTTCTTTTGCGATCTATTGTTGTTGCTTGAATAGAATCGGACTTGAGTTTTTTTTTTTGTTTTGCATGCTGGCAATTAACCGTGGCTTTCTCTTTTTTTGTGCAAAGGCTTTGATTCTTCTTTTATTCTCTTTATATTCTTTGAATTTCATAAATGTGCTTCTAGAGGTTTCTTATTTTTTTTCTTTTTCTCCTTCCTTCTTCGGTAAGCTTCTCTCTTTGACTTGTAATTATGTATTCATTGAAAATGCCTGACCTTTCGAGTACTAATAATATAGGAAATTACAAGCAGATATATATTGGCCTCCGTATATACGTCATATTGGTCATGACTTTTAAAGGTAACGAAAATGGAGGTTTTTTTCGTATCTCAATGGGTTGTTATTGACGAATAGCAGCCTATTTTTGTAAATACTTTTTCTATGATTTCTTGCTTTTCATCTCTGTACACACATATATATATATATATATTTTGTGTATTTCAAGGAATTTTTTCCATTCCATTTTTAAACTATATTTTAATTTTGAATGATTCTTTGTTTACTATTAATTCACGACAGACAAATTTCTCGATTTATCGAATAAATTTATAAGAAATAAACTGTAACTTAAAACCATATTTGGCTTTGTGCATACTTATTTGAGTTATCGATAAACTTTACTTTATTGTTAAAAGAATTAAAAAAAAAAAATAATAATTTTTAGTTAAAATAACCTTTTACAGGATTAATTAATTATTATTAATTGTCATTATTTTTAATATTCTTATTATATTGAAATACATTATTATAAAATTTCAATAATAATAAACGGTTATTTAATAACAAATTTTAGTATAAAGTTTACATGTTAAACAAAATATCGTAATTGTATAATTCTAAAAGGTAAGTTAATTTTATTTAATTGTAAAATGATATTTTTTATTAATTCTATGAAATCAATAAAAATCTTTCAAAAAGTTTTCTTTAAAGACTGCTCGGTAATTTCAAAGTTAAATACCATGATTACACTTGATCAAGATTAAGTTAATTAATACAACAACTTGCGTGTTAATGAAATAAAAATTTTATTATAACTTGATATTATAGTCTTACATTTGTTGGTAAAAGTATACAGGTAACGAGGAGTTGATTTTCGTCTTAACGGTATTTTATTTTTTTCAGAAATAAGACTGTGTGTGAGTTTTTTGTGCTAGTATATGAATGATGAAATAAATTTATGTAATCCCACTCGAAACGATAGTATTTTGATATTATATAGTGAATTGTTATATGCTATGTTTTTGAACAGTAAATATTATGCGAATTAAAAATAATAAGATTTTTTCTATAAAAAAAAATAATGAATGTTTTTCTTATAAGATAATTAATTACCAAACTTCATTCCTATAGAATTTTGTAATGAAAAATTTATAATTAAATATTTTTGTTTAAATAATAATTTGAACTGTGCTTATGAAATTGTATTACATTTAGTTGTTTCATTTATTATAATTCCCCATAATTGTCGGCATATCATAAAATTTTTTAGAATATACTTTGTACCCTAAGTATTAATATACAAAAATGCCCTTTCCTTAATTAGATGCGTTAAATAATGTCATATTCATAAAATTTGTGGTTTGTAATGCTCATCTGTTATATTTAGTTGACAAAATTGGTGGAAATGCTATAATTGTAGAAATGAACAAAAATAACTATACATATAATATTTTTAGCATAAAATTTCAGAAAGATTATGAATGATTTACGACCACTAATAACTTACAAATAACAACTGCATTACTTTGAACATTAGTTTAAACGACCATGGAATGAAAATTTCTTTAATGATTTTGCTGTGAAATTGTAAAACATACGTTTAGTTTTGAATAGATAAATTAAAGTACTGAGAAAGTAAAAATAAAAAGCGTATTTCTGGCATATATTATAGCTTGAATGATTTTTCGCCTGCATCTCTTTACTATTATAAGTTTAATAAGGCTTTGTATTAATCAAAATCTGGTCGAGACCGTTATGTAACATTTTTTTTCCTTTTTTTTTTCAGTCTTTTGCAAGAGAGAACGAGTACTAGAGAAGGAAAAAAAGATAACGTACAAGTTTTGTAGAGTGCGAGAGAGAGAGAGAGAGAGAGAGAGAGAGAGAGAGCGAGAGAGAGAGAGAGAGAGAGAGAGCGAGAGAGAGAGAGAGAGAGAGAGAGTGAGAGAGAGGAATTCCCGACGACGAGGACTAGTAGAAAGAAGAACGAGTAAACTGGGTGAAGAAAGTAAGTTTCTGGTAGCGCCGCCGCCGACTACGACGACGACGACGACGACGACGACGACGACGACGACGACAACGACGACAACGACGATAATCCGTGGAATAAACGGAGAGAGGGTGGGAGAAAGAGAGAGAGAGAGAGAGAGAGAGAGAGCCAAGAGTAAGGAGAACAGTGACGCGGAAGTTTATCGTAGTCGAGTGAGGCACGCGCCACGATGCAGAGCAACGGCACGGAACACCCCGAGAATGGAGTCGATAGGACTGGCTGGACGGTAAGTCTCTCTACGACCACATTATCTTCCTCATTACTTTTCTTCTTTCTTATTGACTCGTCGTTACGCTCATGGTGGCCGAGCTTGCGCCGCACCTTATTTATTTTCTACTCTTGTTCTTTTTAACGAAATTTTAAGAAGTTTAGACTATAAGTGATCAGATATTCCTACAAATCCAATAAAACGTGGCTTTTAACGACATTGAATGAGCAAATGTATGAACAGGCATTAATGTGGCTTAACAGTAAATAGAGGTGTTCTTAAGGTAGAAGTTTAGTTTTTTTTTTGTTTTTTTTTTTTGTTTTTTCCTCAGCAAATTGAATATTTGGCTTAAAATATAAAGTCAGTCGTAGGGGCATTAACTATTGGAAAGATAGTATAGATGATAGGAGCTGCTTAGCGAAACGAAAGAATTTCATCAAGATATCGTTAAGCCATGTGTTTTGAGCAAAAACACCGTATAACTGACTGTACATTATTCTCAGACTAATCATTACAAATAAATGAATTTTGTATACCTTAATCTAATCGACACAAAGATAAATAAATATTGCTTTATTTTAATTGAATGAAAGATTCAGCAAAAAAAGCAAAATATTAAATATAAATTGAATTTACTAATAAAACTTAAATAATATTTTCAATGCTACTCTTATAATAACACAAGCATTTAATGTTCAACTGTATGTTTTGCTTTACATTAGATATTAATGCAATTTCCTTATCATCATTACATTAAACAATATATTGTATTACTGAAATATTACTTAACGAATACTAGTAGTTGAATCTGCTTTATGTTAAATATCGATATCACGTTTAACTCATCGGGCACCGCAATAAAAAATAATAATTTATTTTAAAAGAATTTATTCATCGTTATTAATTATCGTCAGAATATTAATATTACTATGATAATAATATAATATTCGAAATTCAAATCAATTTATTATATATATATATATATATGTGTGTGTGTGTGTGTGTGTGTGTGTGTGTGTGTGTGTGCGTGCGTGCGCGCGCGCGCGTGTGTGTATGTATGTATGTATATGTATTAAGTTTATAAATATGCGCGCATCGGGAAACACTATGCGAATAAGAAATTTTAGCATCGAATCCTACGGAGCCAATGATAATGTTTGGCCGTATCACGTGGTGGAGAATGAGGATGAAATTTTTGCAGGCATTGCACATTGCTAATGATGACAGAGTTTCTGGTTTGCTCTAGTTGACACATGAAATCGGAGCGGTAGATCGACAAAGCGCATTGTATTGTTGTGACAATTGTCGGTGTAGTAACGACCGAGCGAAACGCGCCAACAACTTGGGATTCGAATCATTGTCAACTTTCAAACGCATCTTTCATTCGTGAATTGTGTAAGCGTATTCAATGAATGTAATAACACTTGTTGATTTTATCAATTCAAAATACGTAACAGTTTAACTTCGATTTAAAATTTTTTCAAAAATATTGGATTGCTATTTCACCCCACACCTTTACTACTTTATATTAATGATCTGTAAGAATTTCTATATTTATTATAAATGAATTGTTATAATTTTTAATCGAGTTTCAAATGTAAACATGTATGATCCTGAAATTAGCGCTAACTTAAGTTGATCGTATAAGTGTTGCTTCAGAATTTTCATGTGGACATACAAGGTTTCGTCAGTTTTTTGAGCGTTACGGATGCTAATGCCTGCTATTGCCTTTGTCAATTACAAATTAAATGTAAATAATATTTTAAAAGATCATTCAATAATTGTAGTGGACTGAAAAATAGGCGTAAGGTTCAGTTCGAAAATTGATCATAAGTATTTTAAAATAATTATAAAAATTTACAGATAGGGAAATTGCAAATAGAGAGAATATTGGGTAATAATATATCGTTAACGTAAAATTTCGTTTCGTTACATTTTTCATTATACAATTGTAATCTCAATTACTTATATACAACTGCAATTGTGAGCTAGTAAAGATTTGCTTTTCGAATGAAATGAACTATTTTCTTATTTCTGATAGTCACGTTATAGTCAATAATACAAGACACTATTAATATTTATAAATTTCTACATTCATCTATATTACCGATATTAAAATTAGTTTGAGTAAAAATTAATATTCATTATTTGTTGTTAAGTTAGATGATTCGCTACATCATTGAAACATCTCAAATGTCCTATAATCGACTTATCTTATAATGTAATACAGATTTTGTTATAAATTTCAAGCGACAATTTTTTTTTATCCTCCTTCTAATAAGTACAGTCAGTGATTGTTTATTCGTTTAAAAAGTAGAGACGCGGACAATAACTTCCCTATCCGTCCTATTTATGTATCGTCGCGACTAAAAACTGACATTTTGTGCTGGAGCTCGCGGATTAAGTGCGATATGTAATGAGCAGTCCTAGGTGTATGCGACATTGCGCAGACGAATTCAAAATGAGTCGAGCGAGTTTTGATTTAGCAATAACAATAAAAGTAAAAGAAAGGGTTGTTAAGTTAATATGTTGGGTAAGGCATTGATTAGCCAGGGTTTAAAAATTCGTCCAAAAGGCTGGGGTACACGCGCTACGAAATTAGTATCGGGTGATTTTTGTACGGTTGCTTTTCCTTCATTCGTGTCCTTACTTCTTGTCAACCCCCTTTCCCACACCTCGCGAGGGGTAGGAGAATGCGCCAGGCCACTATCTCCAGGGGAAAGCTGACAGGGCCATTTTTATCGACCTTGAGAGACTGGCATCCCCGTTGCTATTCTCCCTTAACTTATTCGCACCTCTTTCCCCTCAATCGCACATGCGATTCCAACATCGCGCACACCCTTACTCGCCCGATGTCTATCGCCACTATCAAACCCTCCCACTCTCATTTTTCTTTTATCATTACTTTACGAGAATGCGTCGAATTTATTTCGTTTTTGACTCTTATTTAGCACGAATATTTCGAATTCTAGTACTGATTGTCGCGGCCAGACAATTTACCGTCGGTGCGTCGGTGCAAAAGGGCTTGGAATAGAATTTTTTGAATCAAACAAATATTCGATTAGCCCAATTAAAAAAATTAATTATCAAGAAATCGAGCGGCAAATTATTTGCTCGGTAATTTGAACGCCATAAATAATAATTTTGTCATCGCTTTGATGTAGGCAGCTAATGAAAATCCAACTAATATAATAAAAACAATAAATAATATAATTAATAAATAATAAATATTCCGGATGACGGACGAGCATTGAAAATCTTTGTAGTGCGTTGGTGGGGTATACTTTATTGGAACGAACAGTCAGTCGACGAATAAACGGGATTGCTAAAGTCTGTTTCTCGCTTTATGTGTGCGAGCAAAGCCGGGGAGGCGAACAGAAGGCCCCAGCCCTCGACGCATACTCACATGGCTCCGATGCTTACCGTCCGGGACACCACCGACTCGTTTTTAGCATTTTGCTGGAGATAAAAGGGCCTCGTTTCTCCTTCGTTTCATTTCAAATCTTGCTTTTTCTCCTTTAGCGTTTTTTTTGTACGCGCGCGCACGAAGTTTATCCTCTCTTGCTAAAATTTATTTTTATAAGGAATCTATGTGATATACAGAACTTAATTCGAACGTTATTTTACATTCAAAGTAATGAGATTCTCTTTTGGCTGGCATGTGTTGTGTTGTTGTAGATAATGACTATGAATTTTATTCATTATGATTTATAGTCACTATCGTATACCTATGTATGGCGTTACCACTACGTAAGTTTGTACACCGTGTATTACTAAATTATTATTAGTATTAAAATTGAAATTTAATATAAAATAGATGGATTAAGTAAACAAAATAATTAGATACTTGATAATTTACTTTATTATATTTAAATGCAGTATTTAAGATAATATAATCATTAATTTTAAAGGTTTATTAATATTAATTTTTGTATTTCAAATATTATATTGTTTACGAAAAAGAATATAGTTATGCACGTAATGTTTTAGATAGGAATTTTAGAATTTCAAATTTTAGACAACTGCTTATAAAAGTGACTATTTTTACTGTAATAAAATGTAATAAAATGAAATGTAATATTGGATATAATTTATGCGTTTTGAAAAGTTAATTAATTACGTTATATAATTAGAAATTAAACATATAGCAACAAATATTTATGTAAAATTATGCTATTTATAAAATATATAAAAAGCGAGAAAATAAATATGATAAATATTTAATTAAAAATTTTAAAAAGTAAATTTTATTAATAGAAATATTTTCTATAAACAAAATATATAAATAAAAGAATATTCTTACATAAATAATAAATAAATAATCAAATTGACATACCTATTTAAACAAAATAATAATAATAATAATAATAATAATAATAATAATAATAATAATAACTATTATTATTAGTATTAACGTAGGCAAACAGTTATGACATTAAGAGATAAGGTGAATAAAATTTTTCTTGAAATTAGTATTAAAATAGTATTACGTGAAATGTAATTTGCAGTGCCCAATAACATTCATATAAATATTTATCTGTACATTATTATATATTAAATATTGAGACATGTAAAAATTTATTATTAATAATAATTCATAAATTCATTGGTTGAATGATATTTTTTAATTATTTATTACGGACTAAACAACAAAATTTAAGGAAATTCAGATAAATTAAAGTAATACATTTTCTTTTTACGAAGGTAATTGCAATAATTTATTCTAAATTTGAAAAATCGTATAATACATATATAGATTTTTGTATACGACCTTAACTTGAAATATAATAGTGCCAATATGCGAAAGAAACTTGAATAAAATAATGCTAATTTATGCTTTATCTATGATAATATACATATGATCCATCGTTTACGTATATTACATAATAAAATAAATCCTGTAAATAAATAAATAACAACGTAAATAAAATAAACTTGTAGCGTAGTGTACGTGAACATATATTGAATTATATAACATATATTGTTTTGGAGAATGACGTTTTATTCTTCTCATATTAACTATTTTAAATCAATAGAAAAATTGCTTGAATTTTAAAGTAAATGTACTTACTGTATGTAAATTTTATAAAATACGATGAATTGATATTTATAATGTTATGGAACTTTAAGTTATATATATATATATATATATATATATATATATATATATATAATAGACAGATTCGTTTTAAAATTTAAACGAATTTTCTTTTAATTAAAATTTTTTAATACGGGAAGTTTGAATATCTAAATTTAATTTTGAACAACTACAATACGTTTCAATTGATTCGAGTTTAAAATTTTTAAGTGTAAATGATAATGTTTCTGTTTTATATGGTCTGTTAGTCTCTTGAATAAACAAATTGTATTCAAAAGTTATATTAAAAGAGTTGAAATTAATAATTTATATTATCCTTAGAATAATTATCTAGTTTTACATTGGATCTTACGGTATTTTTATAATTTTTATAATTTTTATAATTTTGAAAAAGCATTTTCTTATATATATATATATGCACACACGAACATAGGCAAAGACACACGCACACATGATGTTAAAAGTAAGTCATTATGAAACCTTTTGGCATTAACAAAAAAAAAAAATTTGATATAATAGTAATAAAAATTATAAAAATTACGTCATTGATAAAGCGTATTGATATTATTATATAATAATTTAGCGTTGCCCGTTTTGATTTATATAGATCGGCTTAATAAATGGCAAATTCAAATATCTTACGGCGGAGACCTTTGGCTTCAAGATCAATGCTAACGGCGCCAGTTTAAAAAAGAAGCAGCTTTGGATGCTCGAAGGCAACGAACATCAGGTGTACTTACGCTCGCACCTGGAGCGCTACTTGGCGGTTGATCAGTTCGGCAATGTCACTTGCGAGGCTGAGGATCCTAGCGATTCTGGTTGTGCCTTCCAGATTCAACTTGCTTACGATGGTAAGAGCTCGAAAGTACATTAATATTAACGACTTGAATTATTGAATATTGCATTGATAACAATTATTTTCTATTATTAATGAGTGAATTCGTGTGCTAATATCTTAATTTTACATGCTTTATAGATCGATGCAGCAAAGAGCATCTTTCTTTAATAATTGGCAAATTTTTCATTTTTAACACGTAATCGTAAATTTTAATAAGCTATATATCCACGTATGTAGCTCACTTGAGTGGATTTTGTCAGTACATGTATCGCTAGTGAGATATATTTATCATTATCAAGTAAGATTTCTTACATTTCCCCATAAGTAGAGAATTTCATTTTAGATTGCGTAAAGTCTTTTTTAGAAGATTGATTAATAAGTGGTCAAAGTGCTATGACATATTTTAATCACGATACGTGTGCAAATTAAAATCTTACATTCAATATTACCTTTGTGTATGCAATTTTGATTTAGTTTTATAATTAATGTATTAATTAATTTGTGCGATATTAAAATTGATACTGTCATTAATGGTCATTAATAAATTTCAAATTATAGGTTCCATTTTATAATTCAATTATACAATGGACAAAATAATTTTGGAAAGATAGTTTAAGCTTTTTTAAAGTGTAATATGAATATAAAATTATATTCAGATTTATAATAACACATTATCATTGTCGTTGGAATTATTATTATTATTTATATTCCATGATTAAATAAGAATTAGTAAAATTTTTAATTTAGTAAGAAGTATTTTTTTTTTTTTTTTTTAATGTTATTCAAATCTACAATAATAAATAAAAAAAGTTTCTTTTAATTAGAACAACTTTTCCATCAAATTTGTATACGAAAATATATAACGAATATGTTGCATTTATTTTTTGGTTTTGAAATTTTGTTTGGTTTTGAGTTTTTGTTATTGTTTATTTAGATATTTCATTCAATCTAATAATTTAGGAAATAATTTTATTATTTCAAAAATATTGATGATATAGTTAATTTTACGTTGAAATAATTAAAAATTTGTGGTACGAGTAATACTGTACATTAGAGCTAATTTTATTTTTAAAAAATGCTCATTGAACAAGTGTATTAAACGACGGAGTATTCAAAGAATAATTAATAAACGTCGGCAATTGAAATGATAGAATTACAGAAATGATTCTTTCATTCGCCTAGCGATAAAATTAAATTGACTCTTGAATTCGAACGAAAGTACACGCAATATAATCCATCGATGTATACAGCGTATACACGGCAATTTAAGGCACGATTAGTCTAATTACATTCTTACAATCATCATATGGCGAAGTATTTTATGATACACAATGATCTCGTACTTTTGCAGGAAGCGGTAGATGGGCGTTAAAGAACGTGCAAAGGGGCTATTTTCTAGGCTCGAGTCAGGATGAGCTTAAATGTACCGCTAAGGCTCCTGGCGAATCTGAATACTGGCTGGTGCATCTTGCTGCAAGGCCACAAGTAAGATATATGGAAATATTGTGCCGTAATTTCCTTATTTTTCTGCCGTTTAATGCTTGCTCACTCGACAAAGCTGCCAATTCAGCATTACATTAAAAGAAAAGTTACGATTTTTTTTTTTTTTTTTTATATTATGCACAAGTATGGATAATATACGGGTGTTTTTAATATTTTAATAAATTTACGATACATATATCCGTTTTATTTAATAAAGACATATTTTAACAATGATTGACCATCTATAAAGTATCTATTATATAAATACTGACTTGAAAGTTTTATAATTTTTAGTATGAGGCATTATTTTCACAAAAATAAGTCGTATTCAATTCCTATTTTTCATCTTTGATATTAAGTATGAGAATATTAAGTATGTATATAATTGTGCATGTGACACATTGTTTTAAACGTGCTATTTTATTTTTTACATTGATGTATCTTGTGGAAAGTAGCAAGAAAAAGTAGATAACGGTCGTCGGCGAGCGTACTCACAGATGCATGCATATGGTTTTATTATTATTTATTTATTTTTTTTTAATAAATGGCAGAAGAAATAATAGCATGTGTACGATTGATTTATGTTATGATACAGGCAGTTATCAATTATAGAGTTATAATGAATTCTTTTTATATTGTGTGACATTAAAATTTAGAACAATTTTTGAAATGGAGGAATTGTGTATAATAGAAGGTTACTATTTATCAATTTTTATTAATGAATTATCGATTGACTTCTAATAAAATTTCAATAAAATTCAGTTCCATCAATAAATAATTCAATCAAATAATTACTTTATTAATTATGTACATCTTTCATTTAAAATTCATTTAATAACGTGTTATTTTGGCCGTACTATATTAATAAATAAAATATATGCGCAATATTTCTAATGTAATACTCCTGTAAGATAAAAATAAATTAATCGGATGGCTCTATTGATTTATATAATTATTCCCATTAAAACTAAATTAATTTTTTTTTATAATTTTTCAAAAATCAGTATATTTTCATTCTTTATATAGAATAATGTAAATGATACAATAGTACAGTTAACTACGTAATTTAAAAAATAGCCATTAAAGTTTTATTAGTCAGTATTTAATGGGAAATTTATTAGTTTTAATTAATCTTTAATGATTTATAAATAGTTTAAATTGTTCAAGTAGGTTGAAAATGACGTTTCAACCTGTAATAATGTTGTCAGATCAATGTAGAAGCAATAAATATATGTAGTTAATAAAATAATAATAAAATTTAAAAGTGTAAAAGAGTAATTGTGCTCAAGCGACTGATTTTTAAATTATTTAATAGAAACAATTTTTACTAATGTTAGGGACTATGAGACGTATTAGTTTATAATACTTCTGACTAGCTTATTATAATACTTTACTAAGTTATTATATTTTTTAAACGTGCTTTAAAAAAAAAATATATATATATATATATATATATATATATATATATATACAGATATTATAAATAAAGTTATATAAAATTCCAGAAGTTTATCATACATGTTTTTTATATCCATTTTTTATTTAAGATATTTTTCTTATAATGTATTCAAATTAATGTAGAACATGCGGTCTTGTTGCTTACTGTGTGATTAAATAATTTTAGTACGTTAATACACAAACTCACAAGAGAATGCCGATCAAAAAAGAAAATTCTGCCATTTTAACGTTATAAATATTTTAATAATTAACTATGGTTTCATATGACTTTTTTCTTTTTAGAATCAGGATACCTGCAACGAATTAAATTGCAACTAAAGAAAAAATGATAAAGGAATTGTTTAATTAACCAAATTTAATGTTATATGGTTGAAGATATTCCGGATGTATGTTAATAATTGGATAAAATATAGAGATAAATATATATATTTTTTGTATTTGAATTATATTGAACGAGTTAAAGGAGGTTATAGATAAATTTAGCCAAGCTATATCGACTGTATAAATATTGCAAGAAATTGCTTATTATTAAATGTTATTTATCTTTCAATGGAATATAAATACAGATTCTAGGACTCCCGATGCAACAAAGTCTTTGAACACTTGAAGTCTTTGTAATTATCAATTTCAGATACGAATGAAAGAAAAAAAACGTGTCGTCCATTTGAGCACAGCATTTTTACTTGTATTTATTTATCCTATAATTATAGTTAGAGTAAAGTAAAGATCGTGAGCTCGGTAAGACGTATCGCTTGACTTTAAGCTTATCTCGTAGTATTCGTGAGAACAATCTCTGTCTTGTTCCAATTGAGTGAGGGTAATGAAATGTCATCGAGCGTGACATTAGCCACGGCATTTAGCGTTTGACTCAATTGCGACAATAAAATAGCACTTCAATATAGTCAGACTTTACATCACAGGAAAATTAAAAGATTAGACAATAAAAGCCGGATGATTGATAACAGAGCGTGAGTTTTTAGAACTAGAGTACATCCGATTTATGCAATCCTTTATACATAGGTGAATTAATATCAATATTCATCAATATACATCATTATTATTATCATTATTATTATCGTTATTATCATTATTATCATTATTATTATCATTATTATTATCATCATCATCATCATCATCATCATCATCATCATCATCATCATCATCATCATCATCATCATCATCATCATCATCATCATCATCATCATCATCATCATCATCATCATCATCATCATCATCATCATCATCATCATCATCATCATCATCATCATCATCATCATCATCATCATCATCATCATCATCATCATCATCATCATCATCATTATTATTATTATTATCATTATCATTATCATTATCATTATCATTATTATTATTATTATTATTATTATTATTATTATTATTATTATTATTATTATTATTATTATTTCGTTATATTATTTAGCTTGTGTAATTTATAATTGATGTGCAAGAGAATCGTGACTAAGGTCGAGAGATAATTTATAGTGTAAAATCTTAAAATTTTCTAACAATTTTATGTCAGAAGACGTTTAATATATAAATTGTTTAATAGTCAATATGATTTAAAAATAGAATGTTAGTCTTATTCTTATAAATGGTTGGCACCATTCTTATGTAACAAATACTTATATTATATTATTAATATACGACTTACTTAAAATACATATTTTTTTTTTTTTATTCAGGATTTGATATTGAGTCTGGATTTTTATAATGAAGGCCACTGGTTAAATAAGAATAAGGATCACGTTTCTTACTCATAAATGAATATTCAAAATGTATCTCAGAAAAAAAAAAAAAAAAAAAAACACGTTATTTTAATCATACGTATAATAATAATAATTAACAAAAACAGAAAGAAAGAAAAAATTCAAAATAGTTTAAATATATTTAACCGGAATAAAATATTTTTCACGTGACAATATTGTTGGTCACATGAGCAACCTCGCTGTCCCTTGTTTAACCACCAATCACAATAATAATTGAAAATAAGCTAGTGATGAAAATGCTTTTATAGGTGAATTTGCGCTCGGCCGGTCGTAAGCGATTCGCTCATCTCAGCACAACGCAGGACGAGATTTACGTGGATGCACCTGTGCCCTGGGGCGAGGATACCCTATTTACCCTAGAGTTTCGTGGTCAAAGCGAGCACGTGAATGCGCGGGGAAAGCCGGAGGGTGGCCACTACGCCCTCCATACCTGTAACAACAAGTATTTGGCGCGCGACGGAAAGCTTCTGGAGACCTGCACTCGGGACTGCCTCTATGCGGCTGAGTTCCACGCGGGTCTACTCGCGCTCAGGTAAGCAAGTCTCGGCTATCCCTTTTCAATGCTCGTCGACGAGCTATAGGCGATACATGGCTAGACAATCAGATATTTCGATTTTATTCCGTTTATGAGCTACGTCCTCAATGCCTGCACGTTTCTTGTATTTGAATAAATTCTTGTCTCTCGTATCGGTGCAACCGTGACACCTGTCATTATGACCGTCAATGGCTGTCAATCACATATTTATATTACGATCAGCCATTTATTTCGAGGTGATTCTTTTGAATCTCAATTTAGTATCGTCTATGAAAGCATTATTTGCCAATTAAACTTGACGAACTTAATGATTACGCTACCATTTGTACCGACACGTTTGCCGTTGTTAGAACCAAATCGAGAGAGCCGTGGCGGTGATTAGTTGAAGTATAATATAAAATAACTTATAATGCCCTCGAATATAAAAGAAAATTATAGTTGTAGATAAAGCAGTATGATTTATTTTGTTCTAGTGGGTTTTATATATATTTTTTGTTTTTGTTTATCTTTTCGAAAAATCTTTTCTTTGTGGGATCGTTTAAGAATAATAAACTTATTTATATATAAGTCTTTTTAAACAGTCATACACATAAAAACTGTAATTACAAAACAATTGCTTAGATTTTTGTTCATTTTTCTTTCTTGCATTTTATAATTGGCGAATTATTTGAAAGATATGAGGAAAAATTTGCCCAAAAATTATAAAATCTTTGATTCGTATTATTATGCAGTTCAATGATTTATAATTTTAATATTTAAATTGCATAATACTTTTATTATATTCTAAACTATATCTAATCTATAATTGATATTGTAAAAGTGCCTGTAGACACAATTTTTATATTTCTTCAATTGCTAGTATTGAATAATATTCCTATAATATTTAATTAATAAATAATTAATAATAAATAATGAAGATTAATAAATATTAAAATTTGTAATTATAACTTATACGTAATATATTTTATAACACTTTAGTTAAAAATTATGTTTAATATACTATTTGATATATTTATAATTAAATTTAATAATACGTAATTAATTTATTAATATTTTAAATATTTCGGAGACAGACTTTTAATAGGATATAATAAAATTTAAATTTAATTCGATTTACGTTTAAGCTAAATATCTCTTATATTATTAAAATTTATAAACAAATCAAAACATTCAAAATAGTTTTAAACAATAACTAACGAATCAAATGGTTTTTTGATGACTTAAAACTGGAATAAAGTAATTTTTAATTTTAAACTGTTTATAATTACGTAATTTATGTTTGTAATATACATTTTTAAGATGGTATTGGAAAGGCCAATATTTTTTGGCATATATTGTCTTAATGATAATGTTCTAGTTTAGTATTTTGAGAATGAGATTTAATTATTTACCGTCACTATTTGAGAGTGATAACAAATAATAGCGTTTTATGCTACTAAGCTAATTGTAATTTGTGACTTTTTTTTATTTAAGTAGGTACGTTAGCAATAATATTTGTTGTATGCACTAGAATAATCATAATTATCCACGTCATTAATATCTGATATTAGTAAACGTTTAAAGGATGGAATTATTCAAACGTAAAAAAGTGCTTTTATAGTTCGCATACTTCGTTTAATCACATTGAAAGGAAAAAAATTGAGTCACAGGCACAGCGTTGATGGCCTAATGGAGCGAAACCTGAAAAATGAATCAATCCGCCGAAGAGTAAGACCTTTCTTGACGCCTGTACATTAGTTGCCCATGAGGATCATCGACAAGAAGTTCTCTTAGTATGGAAGTCGTTTCTTGACTTTTATATGCGAGCAAGGTGCGCGCGTGGATTGCTTGATAAAAATAAAAATAAAAATGTGCACGTTCGAGAAATATATATATATATATATATATATATATAGATATATAGATAGATAGATAGATACAGAGAGAGAGAGAGAGAGAGAGAGAGAGAGAGAATGGGGTCTAATTCGTGCGCTGTATAGTGACTCATCGACGCGTACGAAACTTGATTCTTTTTTCATTTCAAGGGGGATTTGTTTGTTGGCGGTCGACGCCACACCATATATCGTGGTAAGGAGAGAGTAAGGGCGGGGGGGGGAGTCATAGAATAAATATGTAGGTGGTACGCTTAAAAACGGAAACAGTTGTTGTTGTCTCCAATTCTTTACAACCTATTTTCATTGTCCTATTGTCTTTGCGCTTCTCTTAAAAAACACTTAGGTGTTAAGAATTAATTGACGAATGATCAAGATGAATTATCGAAATTAGTCCTGCGTATTTAAAATTATCGCGAGTAAGTAATTGCAATCTTTTAATTTTAACACTCGCTCATCTTTAATTAAGATAAGTAAATATCGTTTTTCAACAATTGCGGATATTATACATTAATCGATCGACGTATGTAATAATTTTATGTTAGGAAATTAAACGATACATTGGATATAAGCAGTGAATACAAATTTCTACTAATATTATTGCTTAATCGACAAATAGTCCAATTAATCTAATTAAATAATTTGAAAATTCAAATATGCGCATATGATTTGCTTTATCTCTGTGCGGATCGTTGTATGGAAATAATAAAAAAAAAAATCAATAAAATATTACTTTCAATATTTATTGAAAATAAATAGATTGTTTTAAGGCATAGCTATTGCCAAAGCGCCCCTAATCAATAGTCCCCGGTGAATTATTGTTGCGAATTTTTCCGAACGAATTTAATATGCCGCTTGTCAATTTGCGACTTCTATTAACGTTCTGTGCCTTGTTCTCGATGAATATACAGGGACATCAGTGGCGGCTATCTGGCACCGATCGGCAGCAAGGCTGTGTTAAAGTCACGCTCCACCACTGTCACCCGGGACGAGCTTTTCTCTCTCGAGGATTCGCTGCCCCAGGCGTCCTTTGTCGCGGCCCTCAATCAGCGCTACGTCTCCGTCAAGCAAGGTAAGAGCCCTGTCAACTCGATACCTCCTACTCTACTTTTGGCTTAAGTAATACAAGCCGTTATGGGGCTTTAGAGTGTTAAAACAAGGTTTCTGTATAATCTACGCCGCTGTATTCATTAAATCGAATAAATAGTAAAATCATGGGAATAAACGGTTTTATATTTTGTTAAAGCTCAAGTCGCGTATACGATGTTCCCGAAAGTTTTTTTCGATAATTTTTACTAAAGCCGAATGAATGAATGTAAATTAATGTTGAACTCTCGTGTCGAGGTTCTTTAAAATTATAAATTAAGTTAAAGTATATAAGAACAAAATGGTCGCGAGCATTGGTTTGCCGTACGTAATGTCAGTAATGCAAGGACAATGCCGAATTTACGATGCACGAACATTATAAGAATTTCTTATAAATTCTTAGCAAATTCGCAATCATTGAAGAATCAGGATAAGAAAGATAAAGTAGGCAAATAATGATAACTTACGAGATCGAATATTAGTAGATTATTAATTTTTTTTAACAAATTTTTCAGCTATCTCTGTTAGCCAACAAAGCGTTCCGGTACGCCGGAAACAATTGCTTCCTCTTACAATGTCGCATTTACCTTTATAAGTCCTGTTGAATTTTTTTTTGTCTTTGTTTTTTTGTTTCGTTTTATTTCCTAGGGGCATTCTTTTTATACGTGCTGAGGTGTAATTCAAATAATTTTTTTAATACGCTGGAAAATATAAAAAAATTAATGTTAATATCGAACTTCGTTTGTACAGTTAGAAAAGTTTGAAAATAATGAATGTAAATTAAAATCTATTCTATTTTTATTAAATATTTCCAAGAATGATTTCCAAATTAAACAAAGTAATTTTATTGTAAATTATTGATGTTCAACTTTTATATTTTTATTGACGTCAATTATCTAGAAACTTTAATGCAATTTAATAGTTCAATATAATTTTATATGAAAGTACCATAATTATACAATTAGTAGTGGTTTAATTGATTACTATTAACATACAATTAATATGAAAATAGGTAAGTGGACGGTGGATGAGCAAAAAATATAATTGGAACTAAAAATGCAAATGGGGCTTTGATAAAAACAAAAAAAGTGTTCGCGCAGCCGGTAAAAACAAGACATTCCTGTTTCTCTCTTTCTTCTTAATCTGCGACTACAGCCGGAAATGGGACCTTTTAGAAATTCATGAGATGCGCGGCCTCGCCAGGCATGCTAAACATCACCTTTCGATGCCACTACAGTACCACCGAAACGAATCTTAAACTCCTCTAAGGCTTCAATTCCTTTTATGAATTGTAGGATATCGGTAACATGTCTTTCGATCATGCCACAGACTTTTTATTTTAATTGTTCTGTTTAAGATCATAATCCGTGCTATTGTCATAATTCACTTTTCTAGTTTTTAAACTATTCAGAAATTATGTTTAAATTAAATTAAATTTCTAGCCCTTTAAATGCTCATAAGCATCAAGCATTATAAACCTTTACATTAATATATTGTAATTTTCGAAGTATATCGACCAATCAATTACTAAATGGTAAAAAGTAAAGAAGAATATAAGTGTAATAATTTTAGTATTTGTGGATAAAAAACTTTATTGAAAAGATTTTCTTAAGAAAATATTTTATCTATTTATACAGTGAAGTATTATAAATGTACTGCTTTTTTCAAAAGTTGAGTCAATGAGAAATAAAGTATATTTATAATTTTACCACAATAACACTGTTACTTATATTATAAAAATATGGAGCAATTAGCAATAATAATTATTTTTCTTACCAGTACATCGGGTTCAATAACTCTTAAGTTTCTTAATAAGGCAAATCGAATGGTTACTCAATATTTGCTTAATTACGATAATTATACATTTCGTACATTTTCAGGAATTTCTATTGCAACTTTTAATACATTGTATGTCATTAATAATTGCATTCGGTATTCTAAAATCTGCCCTTTAATTTGTTATTAACATTCGATTATAAAATTAATGCAGGTTGTCCTGTTGCATCGCTGCGAAAAAATATTGATCAAGTATTGTAATTAGATTATTAAATTTTTCAAATAATAGATATCGCACAGAGTTACAAATAAATGATGTGGATATTAATTTAGTCTGGTTATATATTATTATTAATTATTATATTATATTATTTTTATTATATTATATATTATATATATTATTAATTATAAATTATAATTAGTCTGGTATCGCTAAGGCAGTATTAATGGTAATATTAAAGAAAATTAATTTAATCTAAATCAAGCTAACTAGTTGAAATGATCGAATGTTATTAGTTGGAATTAAATTGATTATGAAAATGATGTTAAAGGTAATTTGATAAGTTAAATAAGAGCAAATTCTTTTTACAGTTCGTAATTTTAAGAGAAACGCTACGTTGTAAATCAAGTATTCATTTAAAGTAATCAGAGGAGATTTTTAACGTAAAATAAAATAATTATAGAATTTACCCCAATATAATTCAGTAATTGCGGTAGGGAAAATTTTTGTGCATCGTTAATGGTCCCGTTAATGTCAGATTCACGATAGATAGTCAGAAAGGAAGGTAAATTTTTTTATTTTTAAAAATTTGTTTATTATTATTTAATTAGTTATTTATTATTATTATTGTTGTTGTTATTATTATTTAATTGGTTATTTATTATTATTATTGTTGTTGTTATTATTATTTAATTGGTTATTTATTATTATTATTGTTGTTGTTGTTATTATTATTATTATTAT